CCACCGCATGCCTCTGTCACCTGGTCCTGGGATTTCTTTTTCTTCTTCTTCTTGCCCCAACACCCGGAACTCTCTGAGTCCTTGCCGTTGGCCTCGCCACAGAGCAGCCCGTCCAGCTCATCCGTGCCCATGTGCTGTCCCTGAGTCGTCTCTGCTGCCAGCCGGTACGACAGGTTCCTTAAGATGCACACACAGTTCTCCACGGTCTGCGGGGTGAGAAGTGGGGGGTAGGAGGGGGTAAGGGGAGAGAAGGGACAGGGCTCGAGTGAGTATGCAGCAGCCTATCACTTAGTGCACAACTGCATGTACACAGTCATACATGTACATAGTGCACATATACATGCACAGGCATATGCACACACATGCATGCAGTCATCTGTGCACAGATATACACACTACCATGAGGGCAAACCTGCACACAGCCATACATTTATAGCACATACACACATGCTGCAAACATACCCCTGCACACATCACACAACATACACACACATATGTGCATGTACAGGTTTCATAATACATGTACCCATGAGCATAATCTATGTATATGCACACCTCACACACACACACTCATAAACATGTACACAATACAGGCATACACGTGCACACATATACTCACATACACACAAGAACATAAGTGCACAATGCGTGCGTGCACATGCATGCATGCTCATGCAAACATGCACAAACTCATGCAAATGTGCATACACACATATGAACCCACACATTCCTGCACATGTGCACAGAATGCATACATGCATACACATGAACGCACACACGTGCATGTGTGATCGCATACACGGGCACACATATGTGCTGGTGTACATGCACTCCTCTAGATGTGTTCACTACTGAGTTCTAAAGGCTCCCCCCTCCCCAAAGTGGAAAGAACTTAGAGAAGCTTGGAAAGATCTGAGGATCTCTCACTGCCAAAGAGAAACTGATCAACAAGAGCGAGTTCAGGAACATCTACCGCTGTGGAATGCCATGCACCGGTCACACTGGTCAGTGGGGAGCAAGATATAACGACCAGATGGCTTGACTGTCCCTCCACTTACAGACACCCCCTGCTCAGGATGTGGAGCTCAGACCCATGGAGAGGAGGGATAAACCCAGCTCGGAGTCGGGTAAGGGACATCTCTGGGAGGAAAACCGAGCAGGGGTAAGCCGGGTGCTATGGGCACCAGGCCCCTCGCTGTGTCTGTTTCATGGCAGAAGATGCCTGTGCCACCTCTTCTCGCAGCGGAGGGGGTGACAGCAGTGCGGGGCACACGTAGATGCCCTGGGTCTGGGACTCATGGCTGTGGGACTCAGGATAAAAACTCTTAGCCTCTCTAGGACTCCGTTTTCTTCTCTACAGAATGGAGTGATCTAGCAGCAGCTACAGTTTAGGAAGGTTGTGAGGATCCGGTGAGTTAACCACATACAGCTGTGTGGTAGACAGTATGATTTCCCTTCCCAAAGGGTTGTGAGTGGGTCCCAGGACTGTGAACGCCTGATGCTGCAAGGTAAAGGGGTTCAGGTGGCAGATGGACGACATAGCGAGATGAGGAGGCGAGCCTAGACTCTCAGGAGGGCCCAGGGTAAGCAGTCACAGGGTCCTTTTAAGTGGGAGGGAGAGGCAGGAGATCAGTGACAGAGCTCTACAAAGTGAGAAGGGCCATGGGATGGGAGGTGATATGTATCAATGTGGCAAGGCGGTGATTCTCAGCGGTCTGTTAGACAGGATGTAATCACTTTCCATTTGGTGTTCTGATAATCCATTGAAAGGGGCGTTTCCCTGGGGGGGTGGCCTGCCCCTAGCATATAGATGGATATTCTTGCAAGACCCCCACATCCCCACCCTCTCTCTACCCTGCACTCTTCTCACCTCCTGACCTGTGGATTTTGGAACTAAGCCTGTGAAAGCCTTCAGCCTACTGCCTGACCTGCATGTTTGGGATTCATCAGCTCCTGCATCTGCTTGAGCCAGCAAAGGCTTCCAACCTGTTGCCTGATTTGGGATATGACAGCACTTATAATTGTGTGCGCCCCTTTCTCGCTCTCTGGTCTGCCACAGATGAGGAGAGCACATGGTGCACGGAAACCAGGGGAGAAGGGTCTCCTCCCACTTTGGGAGGGGCAGTGTCGTGGCGGTCTCTAGCATGTGACCCCAAATGAGGCTACTCAGGTTGGAGTGGGCTGTTTGGTGGGCTGCTGGTTCCAATCTCTCCCGCAACCTTTCCAACATCCTTAAAATGTAAGCAATATTATGATCTCCACTTGACAGAGGAGGAAACTGAGGCACAGAGGGGCACTGTGTTTCTGCATCCCCACTGGAGAACTCAGGGCAGTGATAACAGTATTAGTCTCACAGGGCCACCTATGAGATTAAAGGACTTCAAGAGTCAGGTCTCAGGTGAGTGCCCAACACCAGAGGGCTTCAAAAAGGGTGTGGAAAAATTCCAATTTATTTTCGTTCCAGTTTCCCATGAATTTTTTGAAGTCATTACCTAATAGGTGCTTAAAAATTATTTGACAGCCCCATCAGAACTAAAGTTGGGAATTCTGGAAATGACCAGCTGCAGAGAGGGGTGAGCACAGTTTTGCCTGTGGGTGAAATACAGTGTCACCTGTGTTTATTGATCAAGTTCTACTGGAATACAGCCATATGGCTGCTTCCGTGGGCAGAGCTGAATGCACGTGAGAGAGGCTCTCTGGCCGACAGTGGCTACTATCAGGCCCTTCACTGAAAAACATGCTGACGCTCAGCTTCGGAGCAAAACCGACTTTGTGATGTTTGTTCTCATCTGTGGACCTACAGGAAAAGCTAAAAGCAATCAAACAACAATACTTTTATAGATTTAGGCCAAATAATGATGGAAGACATGGCAGTTTGAAGTCTCCTGGTGGTACAAACACCTAAGTGCTTGGCTGCCAACTCGGATGGTGGAGTTCAAGTACAACTGTAACTATCTACTTGCTGGCAATTTTTTTTAACTTTTATTTTAAAAATCATACCTTGACTTTTTTTTTCTTTTCTTTTTCATAGGCATGAACCATGCGGCGGTCAGGTAGGCTGGTGCCCATTTTCAGAGGAAGAAAAACAGCCAAACTCACTATCCCTGAGTCCGTTCTGGCTCATGGGGGGCCTATAGGGCAGAGGAGACATGCCCCTGGGGGCCTTCTGAGGCTGTAAACCTTTAGGAGAGCAGACAGCCCCACCTTTCTTCTCTGGAGCAGCTGGTGGAGTCGAACTGCTGACTTTGTGGTTTGCAGTCAAACTCGTAACCTGTTAGGCCACCAGGGCTCCTTTGAAATTGATAGTAAATAGCAGTTGAACAGATGTAAACTTTACTGATTGGCACTGATAGGATGATGACAATGTTCATGATTGGAATCCACTGGTACTCAAAAAAGGTCATTGTATAGGGGCTTGTGCTATGTGGATGGAATCCTAATATTTGGGGGGGGGGATGGGTTGGGGGCAGGTAGCCTTCTACCTTTAGTAACCCAGGGAGGCTATCAGGGCTCCACAAAGTCCAAAACAAAGGGCACCTCATTTGAGGCTGTACACCTGCTCGGATGTGCTGGGCAGGGACTGGAGCCACAGGGCTGAAGGCAAGACCTGGATTGGAAGCTAGCTGTCAGGGATCGGAGCTCACTCATGGTCCCCTCCCAGAACTGGAATTGAGTAACAGGAAGCGAATTTCCTCGACTTGATTACTGAGAGTTTGCAAACCAGCGAGGAAAGCCTGTTCTCAGGACACATTTCTGGAATCTTCTCCATCCTAGACCTCTGTTAGATCCTCCAGGCTTCCTGGGCTGCTAATCCCTTAGCTTTCAGTCAACGTGATCGTCCATTTCAAGCATCAGAAAGGCGGGAAAATACAGGGTGACTGAAGCATGAAAGAGAGGAATGGTTATGACATGAGTCAGAACGACGCTGAAGTCGGCTCAAATGGATTTTTCTTACATCAAAGCCTTGGGAGCGGGAAGAAAAAGTTCCTTCTTCCCCAGCTGTTCATCTCTTAACAAACAGCTAGGGAACGCGTTTGAGTTTCCACTGAAGTGCTTCATCTGCTTGTGGTGGGGAGACTGATTTGGGGAGAGGGAGAGGAAGTGGGGAGCGGGGAGGAGGAGAAAGAAGAGGCTGGAGAGAAGTTGGTTGGGGAGACACAGGATTTGAACTGTCCCCTCCCATTAAGCTTCCTGGACCTTTGCAGTTGGTCTTGGTTTGGGAAGACTACCAGTTTGAGGGCTCTTCTCTACTGGGCTTGGGGGAGGGGAGAAGGCAAGCCAAAAGGAGCCTCCACCCTTCCTTGGGACCCCAGCAGAAGGCGATGGCAGCTGTCAACGGTGCTGCTCTCAGTTCCTCTTGGTCAACAGGGTCAAATACAGACTCTGTATTTTCTATTAGGAAGGGTTAATTGAAAAGTCTGTGTGGAGAGCTCTGCCATATGGTCGCCATTCAACAAACTGTCCCAATAATGGGAGCCGAGCAGGGAGAGCTTCCACGGAATCGGGGCTCTTTGATTCACTCACTTCACTGGCCTTAAAGAGAATGTGTACTCATTTTCTGTCCCCAGCCTGTCATTGGGAAAAGCTCAGCAATGGCCGGGCAGAGGGCTGAGTGGAAAATGGCAGTGCTATAATAATACGTCAAAACTCAGTAGCACACTCTGGCCAATGAAGCACTGAGCAATCTGTCACACTGGATCCTTGGGAGAGCCTTGGCATTCCTCTATCATTACCCTCCCTGTCACTGAGTTGAGGCCACTGGTGCAGACACCTATGACCAGTGCTATCCTCCCTCCATGCTCAGTGTCCTTTCAACTCTACCGGGAATAGCTGGGTCTTCTATGTAATGCCTGCCCTGAATATCCCGGAACACTGTGTTGGCTCCCCTGGGCACCCTGTGGTGAGCCCATGCGTGTCCAGAGTAGGACGGTGGCGAATTTCAGTAGCTGGTTGTGAAAAGCAGGTCTCTAGGGGAGTGAGGTGCCTCTGAGCAGACTTGATTCTCTACCCTGTGGATCGGCAGCTGAGCATGCTCACTGTTCACAGCATCCAGGGAGCTCTCCAACCCTAAGGCATTCCAGTGACTTCCAGTTTGTTCTTTGAATGAAAATATGGACATCAAAAGAGATGAACCCTGCCTACCCCCAGGTCTCCTATGAGTGCTTGGAGCCTGGCTATCCGTTTTGGTCCTGGACCTCTTTGCCTGAAGATGGGAGAGAACACAAGTCTGGGTGGTAGGAGCGCTCAGCAAACGGAGAGGCTGTCAACTCATATTTGATTGTCTTCTGTAAGGCCCAGCTCAGACTAAAACTCTTTTTGTATCTATCTGTCTGTTATCTAGTACTACTATAACAGAAATACCGCAGTGGATGGCTTTAACTAGTATATAAGTGTATTCTCTCAGTTTAGGAGGCTAGATGTCTGAACGCAGGGAGCCAGTTACAGGGGAAGGTTTCACCCTGTCAGCTCTGGGAGAAGGTCTTTGACTTCATTCTACCCTTGAGTCTAGGAGTGAGTAGCTTGGGAAATCCCAGGTCTTGTTAACCAGCTCTTCTTTCTTGGAGGTAGGAAGCCCCTCTGGTATCTGCTACCTTGTGTAATCTCTTTAATATCGCAAAAGAGGTTGACCCAAGAAAAGTCCTGTAGACTGTATCCTGCCTCATCAACCTACTTGTCATTAATCCTGCCTGACTAACATCACAGATCCTAAGATTTAGAATACCTAGGGTAATTACGAAGCTCACAAAGGGATCTGCGAAGTATGGCCTAGTCAAGATGACTCGTAATTGGTGGAGGGGGATGGAGGGGAGAGCACAATTCCATCCACGACACCATCTTAGCAAGAGACTCAGAATCCCAGTGCCTCCATCTGTATTATAATCTCAGAATACTAAGAACCTCACCACTCTGGCTTCTGTGCGTCTGCTTCTATAGCTCTCTTTTAAATTATGTGTCTAACCCACTAACAGACTTCTATAAATACTCAAGACATCTCGACTGGACACTTTCATCAAAACTTAATTTTCCTGTCAGTGATATGAAATATCTACAGTGACCAAGAAAGTCATTTACAAATGAGGAATGCTTCCATCACTGGTCCATGATATCTGGTTTTTGGAATAGATAATAAGTAGCAAATAAATGGACCCAAGCTTGACTGAGTGGTAATGATAAGATAATGACAGTACTTGGAATACCCTGGTGCTCAAAGGCCGGTTGCTTATGGGCCTGTGATACGTGGATGGAATCCCCGTCTTGGCGGTTGGTAGGGCTGTAACTTCAGTACTTCTCTAAGTCTCCCAGGAGCTCGGATGTGTCATCAGGGTAGACATATGCTGTGCACATCCATCCCCACAGCCAACTACAAATGGGATGCATGGCATCACTCCTATGTGTTCTCTCTCGGACTTTACAAATGAACTCCATTCTATCCTAGTCCTCATTAGGGGAGTGGGTTCCACATTCACATCTTCTAAGTCAGGGTTCTTAATCTGAGAAGCACATCAAGCCAACTGCTGAGCCTGACATAGACACTCAGATTCCGAAGGGCTGAGATGGGGCAGGTGCAGGTAAGCATTGGCCATCCTACCATTATTTTCATTGCAGAGTTGGAGACCATGGGGTTACAGCAGTGCTTCTCCATCAGAGCCAGTTTTGCTCCTCAAAGGGCATGTGGCAATGAGGGCATTTTTGATGGTCATGGCTGGGGAGGGGATGCCCCTGACATCTAGTGGGAAGAGGCCAGGGTTGTAGCTACGCATCCTACAATGCCTGGGACAGCATCCTGCAATGAATACTCTTCGGCCCCAAATGTCAACAGTGCCACTCTTGGAAAAGTCTGTGTTGAAGAATCACATAAAGGACTTTAAACAGATTGGTAAAGTCTGCATTTATCTCAGGACATTAGGAAATGACTATTGACATGTTTATTGACAGGGCAGATTTAAGATGGAGAGAAGGAATCAAGCAAAACAGCTCAAACACTGGAAAAGTACCCCTGGTACTCTGTGGGCCATGAACTACAGCCTGGAAGAGAAGACAGAACACTTGATTTTCACAGCCGCACTTAGACGGTGCCAGCCTTCGGACATGGCAGTTGATCCATTAACTGGTGGTTTTAAGAAAGAAAGAAAGAGAGAGAGAGAGAAAGAAACTGACTTATTAGACTATTGGCTCTCCGCACTCTCAGGTAGTATGAACATCTCTCTTCCTTTGGGACGTGGATTCTGTAAAATAAAAACTAGAGACTGGAGGGGAACAGGGTATGCCGATGTTTCTGCCCTGCCTGGAAAACATCTGTGGTTTTAATAGCTTCAGATGAAGGATTACTCACTACAAAAGAGAAGATGGAGCATTACCTCCCTAATGCTGGGCTGTGATGAGCAGTCCTACTGCCATGTATGGAATGCATGCAAACAAACCTGGCATAAAAGGAAAGCACCAGGGGGCGCCTCCCTGAAATGTCCATCATTTTGTAATCCCATTCTCCCCAGATCTCTTAGAAGCCCCTGTATTAAGTCCCACATGGGCTCTCCCTTGCTGTTACCCAGGCTAGCTCATCCACTGGGCCCCCAATGCTGTAGCATCCTCACTCCAGGCAAATGCAGTCACAAACCTTGCTGTCGATCTCGCTGCTCCCCAGAGCAGACTGAATCACGTACAACAGCGCATCTGTGAGTCCATCACACTCCCGCATCCTCCGGCGGGCCTCCTCTCCGGCCGAACTCACGTTCCTGCAAAGCAAAAGGGCATATGGGCAGTCAGCAGCCATTACCATCAGAGCCTGCCTCCAGGCTCCTGCCCCTCCAAAGTCTGCAAGACAGACACACTCGTCTGTTTGTTCCTGACGGTGTATCAAGTGCCCAGTGCTAAGGCACAGGCTGGTTTCGACAAAGACTTCCTAGAAGCGATAAGCCATGGGGAATCCTGAATGAGAACAGAGTTGCCACCGCATATGGATGGCTTTCAACAATGCCTCCCGATATGGGAAGCCCAGGGTCACCCTCTCAGAATTCCCCAACACCCAGAGTGCAGAATCCTGACTGAGAAGACAACTGGGGGTCAGGTGGGTGGCTCTAACAGATACCTGCGGTTAAAAACAAAACAAAACAAAACCAAACCACCCTAAAAACCAAACTCACTGCCATCCGGTCAAGTGGGACTCATGGCAACCCTGCAGGACAGGGTAGAACTTCCCCTGTGGGTTTCTGAGACTGCCGCTCTTCACGGGAGCAGAACGCCTGGTCTTTCTGAGACCTGTGGTTGACCATTCCTCTACTGTTGATAGGAAGCCTGCATCCTCTGCATCTCCAGAGGGGCATGGAGACCTCCGGGGTACTCCCTGCCCAGACTGTAGCTCTGGCGCATCACTGGAGGGAGAGCAAGCAGCATTCCCAATACAGCGTGGTTGCTGTGTCGGACAAGGTTGGGAGATCATCCCCGAGCTTTGAGGGTCTCCTCTTTTACAATCGAATGGAGGATCAGAAGCTTTCTGATTCAAAGGACTGTGCTTCTTGGAGAAGTTGGAACCCTTTTTCAAAGAGAGAAGTTTTCAACTTACTGAGTTAGTTTACAGATCTGAGATTTGCCGACCTGGTGAAACGGGATCCCTACCACAAACCATGGATAAAAAAGGAGCTCAAGATAGAATAAAGACCGAAATATGCACCCTAGAACTATGAGGATCATCTATGAAGAACTAGGGGCAAACCCAAGGGCCCTAATACAAGGCATACATGCATCGCCACACACAATGACAATGATCCACACTCCAGAAGACAAGCTAGAGGCCTGGAGTCTATTAGGCAGGTGTCCCAAGCTCTGCCCAGTACTGACACACGTGGGCCACTACGTCTTTCTCCCACGGAGCAGCCAGTAGGTTCAAATCGACAACCTTTGGGTGAGTCTCCAAGCACTTGACCACCAGGGCCACAGACACCTGGCAGGGCCCTCCCTGTTCATTGAGGATGCTGGCTTCAGCCTGGCAGGCCATGTTGGCTGGAATAAACTAGCGATCACCCACAACAGAATGGCCTAGATATATATAAAGGGGCTTCAGAAAGTTGGTGAAAAAATTCCACTCTATTTTTTAATTCCATTTCTTCCCACAAACATTTTTTTGTTTGTTGGAAACTAGCCCATGTGCTTGGAAAGCATTGAAGCCAGGTTCAATGTTACAGTTCTGGGTTTCCCAGACACTCGGGCTAGTGTATCCATTTGACAGGAAGGAAACTGGAGGGCTTGCAAAGCTGTGAATTCTCTCTCTCTTTGGGGCTCCATTCTCTGCCCCCTCCCTTTATTTTGCGGAGTAGAGCGCACGTGGCAGCGGCACACAAAACAGACTTCCCTGGCCCGGCTGATCAGAATTGTGATGGAAGCCCAGTCAACCTGCCACCCACACCGTGCGTGTGGTCCTTTCTTACTTTTTCCTCCCTGCACTAGCTCTCTCCCTTCCTGCCCCCTCCCCTAAGGCCTCACCACAGACTTCAAAACCTGTGACTTTTTGTGTAAAAACACAGTTCTTAGTTTTTTTCTTTCTAATGAGGGTGTCATGAAGTATTTGTCTTTATGAGATTGACTAACTTTAGTGACTACAATGCCTTCCAAATTCTTCCTGGTCATGAGGTATTTGGCAATTTCATTACTGCTATTTTGGAGATGCATAATATTTTATCGTATGTCTATAACAGAGTTTATGTATCCATTCCTCCACAGACAGGCTCTTGGGTTCTCTTCTTCGTTGCTGTTGTAGAAAGCACTGTGATAAACATGGTCATGAATGCATCTGTTCATATTTTCTTCTATATTTCTTTGGGGTATATATATACCCAGTAACCTATTTGAAGTCTGGCACGGGTGAGGAACATTGAAAGGTATCATGGACTGCCAGAAGGACACACAAACCTGTCTTGGGAGAATTATAGACAGAATGCTCCTTAGAAGCAAGGGTGGCAATATTTGTCCCACCTCCTTTGGACAAGCTGTAAGGGAAGTCCAGTCCTTGGAAAAGGACCTCATGGCTGGTAAAAGTAGAGGGGCAGCAAAAAAGAGGACGCCCCTCGACAAGATGGATTGACACAGGGACAGCAACAATGGGTTCAAATATGGGTATAATTGTGAGGCTGGTCTGGGCAGTGTTTTGTTCTGTCTGTTGTACATAGGGTCACAACTGGCTCTCTGGAACTAAATAACAACAGGAGCAACAACATACCCAGTAGAGGGACTGCAGGCACCAGGACAATTTTGCAGCCCCTTTGTACTCCCACTGTGTTGTCACCACATCCCTACACTGCTCCCTTGCTGTCCTTCATTCGGTTTTACAGGTGAGAGCATCGAGGTTGGGAGAGGGTGTGTGAAGCCACAGAGGGAGGAAGTAGAGGGACGGGAACAATCCCAAGTCTGTGAACGAGGGGAGAGCCAGGGCAGAAGAGAGGGAAGAGCGGTCCGGTAGAAGACAGGTGGACAATGCTTTTATAAATTAAAACACAATCCAACCGACCTAATGGTAAGATGGCTCTTTTCTTTTTTGCCTTGGTATCTCTCTCACAAGTTCTACAGACCATGTTTGAAGAGCCTCTATTGGCCTTTTGATGCCACACTGGGAAAGGTTATGCAATTCAAATGAGCATTGTTGACATTTACTGATCTTTCTGCTTTTGAAAAATAAACAAAATTTCTCAGTTCCTCAGGTAATAAAACTGGGAAAACATTGACAGCATTTTTGTGTAGTCTTACAATTTCCACATTGGGTGGCCAACCTTCCTTTCTACCAGGGTCTTGGGGGAGAAGGTGCAGCAACTTTCTGCCAGGGAAAAAGGAGACATCTGAGGAGTCACCAGACTTAGAGGGGCAGCCTTGGTACAAGAGCAATTGTGGTCCATTGCTCCTTGAAATGATTTTTTACTCAGCTGAGCTCTGAAGGTTTGTCACAAATTCCTGGTCGACCTCATTGCCCAAAGGATGGTGGGTGGCAACATAAGATGTTTCAAAGATTGAGACTCTGCCTTTGATGAGACTCTCAATGGAGACTTGAGGGGGGTTGACTTTAGAGAGTGTAAAGGTCTGTGTGGCTGGCCCTAAGTCCAACTACATGGATCCCGCCCCCCACTCCCCCACACCAGAAGAATGCACTGCAGAGGACAGCACTGAAGCTACAGCTCAGGAAGAGGGACACATCTGATCAGAGCACACGGGAACAAATGAAGAGGGAAGGAGAGAGAGTGGAACACATCCTGGCCCACCAAACCCCGAGGATGATATTCCTGCTCAGAGCACCCAATGCACAGAGAGGACCATAGGGCCGGCTCCACTATGAGACAAGATGTCCCTCACTGACCCATAGTATTACAAGGATAACACTGGAGGCTCAGTGTGGGAATTGTGCCCAATTAGACCCCACCACACAGGGGCAAAACACTAAGGGTGTGCAACAGAGCAGCAAGGGGAGCAAAGTAATGAAGTCCCCTGGGAAACCAAAAAGAGACTTTGGGGCCAGGGCATGGCACCCCATCAGACTTGACCAGAAAACATGTCTAAAGGTCAACAAACAGACCTGGAACTCTATATAGGCTTTTCATTTTTTGTAGTTGTTTTTTTGTTGTTATTGTTGTTGTTTTTTGGGTTTATTTTGTTGTCTTGTTTTGCTTTGCTTTATTTTTGTGCTTATTATTGTCTCTGCATGTCTATCTAGATAAGATAAGCGGTATAAACAATCCAGGGGATAAAACAATGGGACCTATGGTTCTGGGGGTACATGGGAGAGGGAGAGGTGGGGGAGGAGGGGTTGGAAGTGGGTGTTAACAAACCCAGGGACAAGGGAACAACAAGTGATCTAAAATCGACGAGGGCACAGGAGGCCTGGTATGGCTTGATCAAAGGCAATGTAACCGAGAGGAATTACTGAAACCCAAATGAAGGCCTAACATGATAGTGGGACAAGAGGCAAGTAAAAGGAAATAGAAGAAAGAACTGGGAGACAAGTGGCATTTATAGATGTAAAGGCATGTACATATGTAAATATATTTATATATAAAGACAGGGAAATAGATCTGTGTACTATAGTTATATGTTAAGTATCAAGGTAGCAGGCGGTCATTGGGCCTCTACTCAAGTACTCCCTCATTAAACTGGCATTTCGTGATGCTCACATTCCCGACAAGATCGCTGAAGACAAAATGAGTGCATAAGCAAACGTGGTGAAGAAAGCTGATGGAGCCCGGCTACCAAAAGATATACCATTTGGAGTCTTAAGGGCTTGAAGACAAACAAGTGGTCATCTAGCTGAAAAGCAACAAAGCCCACATGGAAGAAGTACACCAGCTTGTGTGATCTTGAGGTGTCGATGGAATCAGGTATCAGTCATCAAAGACCCAGAACAAAAAATTCTATCAAAGTGAATGAAGGGGAGTGCAGAGTGGAGACCCAAAGCCCATCTGTAGACAATTGGACATTCCCTTACAGAAGGGTCACAAGTAAGAGACAAGCCAGTCCGGTACAGTAAAGCAGTGATAAAACATACAACTTTCCTCTAGTTCTTTAATGCCTCCCTCCCCCAACCTCCACTATCATAATCCCAATTCTACCTTAGAAATCCAGCTAGACCAGAGCATGTACATGGGTACAGTTAAGAGCTGGAAACACAGGGACTCCAGGACAGATAAGCACCTCAGGGCCAATAACGAGAGTGGCAATACCAGGAGGGTAAGGGTAAGGTTGGGCGGGGGGGAATGATCAC